ATATATAGGTTTTTCGATTAAACTCAAAGTTTTCGAGTTATTTATCAGAAATTGTTGAAAAACATGCAGATTTTAGATGAAAAATCAATATTTTCAATCGCAAATATCTCGGAAAAAATTAATTTTTGGAAAAAACGTTATAGAGCATTTTTTGCTTAGAATTCATCCCTCTATTGATTTTTGTGATTAAAATGGGTGCCTCCATTGCCACCCTGAGAAGAGGTGGCATTCACCCCCAGGGTGAAAGCACACATCGGCACTATAACTTTTATTTCTTGAGCAATTTTCTACTTACTGTGAAAATTTCACGTCAATCGATGCATGTGTCAAGAATTCAGACCTAAAAACCGTTATATACTGAGCTATTAATTAATCGAACTTTTGTACATCATTTTTTTCTAGGAAATGATTGAGTTTAGGAGCCATGTCATATAAGGTTTTTTTGTTTATTTTAATGTATTCGTCTGTTAATATAAAGGCAGTCAAACTTCTAACACCCTGTATATAATCTAGCTAATCTAGTGCTCTGCGGTCATAATAATGACTGCTTTCGACGGTATAATGAACGTAACGAACATAGCTAACCTAACTAAACTCTAGCGTTATACTCTGTTGTGATTTCTAGATCGACACGGGGAATCAGATGAAAGTGCCTGAAATCCTCTTAGAAATGTTCCCAAAAGCCGCCCATACGGGTAATTGGATGGTGGCTTTTAGGGTGGTCATACCACTCTATATGGTGATGGCCCTGTCACAATTCATAACTTATTTACTGATTTTAATTGTGGGTGAAAAGGAAAATAGGATAAAGGAAGGCATGAAAATCATGGGTTTGAAAGACTCAGTCTTTTGGTAAGTTTGTTTAATATTTTCATCAGTTTCAAAATCAGTGACTGGCCGCTTGAATTATGGAAAGTATAGGTACCTATAATACTAATTCGTTTTAGGTTGTCTTGGTTCATCATATACGGAATATTCGTGTTCTTCTTGACAATAGTCTGCTGTGTGCTTCTCTTCACACTCAAAGTGTTCCAAAACACCAACTTTATCCTCATATTCTTGCTGGTTCTGCTATATTCGTTGACTATTATCATGTTTGGATTCATGATAACTCCATTTTTTGACAAATCAAGAGTAAGTTATGTGTAATATGTTATAACCTTTAAAAATATTCCCTTTTAGACCGCAGGAATATTAGGAAATTTTGCCGTGAATATAATGAGCCTTTTATACTTCATTCAAGTATTTGTCGATAGTTCCAGCTCCGTTGCGTTCTGGGTAGCTTCGTTGATTAGTTCGTCAGGTTTTGCCCTTGCCATGGACAAGGTAATAAGCCTAATAGCCAAATTAAAAGAGCATTTAAATCGAAAATTTTAGTCAGCTTGCCTTATTTTTTAATATAAGTTAGTTTGACGAATTGAACAATAAGTGACAGTATTTTTCTTGACAAGTCCCGGCCAGTGGTAAAAAAAATAAGTATTTTTCCAAGATAACTCAAAAGAGTAAAGCTAAAAAAAAAGTTGTAGAGCATAAAATTTTACATGCTTTATTGACTTCTACTATTAAAATTAACAGAGTTAGGAACACTGGAAGTTAAAGGATGATATAAAAAATTTAAAAAAATCATAACAAGCAGAAAAATGGCAGAAAAATGAACGAATTTTAAAAGTTTTTTTTTCAGTCTACGCTAAAAAATATAAATATAAAACCATTTGCCAATTTTAATGATATAGCAACACTAAAACAATTTTTTTTTCTGTACCGTTCGAATAATTATTTAAAATAATGAAATGTTGCTTTTGAAAAAAATTTTTTTTACCTTTGATTTTGAAATATAAAAGTGACGCATGCGAATTGACAAATATAACACTATAATGTAGTTTTTTATCTTTGTCGTGGCAATATCGTAGGAGCTAAATAAAATTCAAAAGGTAAATAAATTTGTACCTGTCTGAAAATTAAAGGTAAAAATAAATTCTAATGAAATTATTTTAAATAATGAGTCAAATGGTATAGAAAAAAATGAATTAATTTAATTAAATCATTAAAATTGACAGTAAAAAATCGAAATTGTTATAATTTTTTTATTAAAAATTAAATAATATATCTATTTGTCTGAAAATAAAGTTTATTATTTTTTAGAGTAGATTGAAAAAAAACTTTTGAAATTCATTCATTCTGCAAGTTAAGATTTTTTTAAAATTTCTCATAACATCCCTTAACTTCTTGTCTCCCTAGCTCGGTTAAGTTTAATAGTACAGGGTGTCCGGAAATTAATGCAACAAAGTTTGATCATGGATTAAGACAAATTTAGGGGACCCGTATTTTTTCTTTTTGCCAAGTGGCCCCTCTTTCGGTGTTACAGTATCTTGAAATCTGCCCCTAAGAATAGTCTTTTTTATATCTCAGAACCCTGTTGTACAAGAATCACTAAATTTGGTACACAGGGGTTTTATGACCTCTGGAATCTGATAGTGGTACGTTTTTTGGCTGTTGGTGTTTTTGGGGAACCCCCTTAAGTCACATTTTCGTGGGCCCCCTTGTCTTTGACACTAAAAAAGTTTGGTCGCAAATTAGAATTTTTTTCAAAATTATTAGTTAGCTAGAAAGCCATTGAATTTAGAAACTTTTTTATCTCTCAATATGTTTTTCGTAAAACGCAATGTTTTTGAGGAAAACGGTGAATTCGATCACATTTTAACATTTTTCTCGAAAATATTGCGTTTTACAAAAAAGTATCAAGAGACAAAAAAGTTTATAAATTTAATGGCTTTCTAGCGGACTAATAATTTTTAAGAAATTTAAATATGTGACTAAATTTTTTTGGCTCCAAAGACAAGGTGGCCCACGAAAAATTGTCTTAAGGGGGTTCCCCGCCAAAAAGCGTAGCACCATCAGATTCCACATGTCACAAAACCCCTGTGCACCAAGTTTAGTGATTTTCGTACAACAGGGTTCTGTGATATAAAAAAAAATTATTCTTAGTGGCAGATTTCAGGGGGCTGTAACTTAGAGAGAGGGAGCCACATGTCAAAAATAAAAAATACGGGTCCCCTAAATTTGTCTTAAGAATCTGTGACTAAATTTTGTTGCATTAATTTCGGGACACCCTCTATATTCTCTACAACTTTCTTCTAGCTCATACACATTTTAAAATTATCTTGAAAAGATATTTCACCCTTGGCTGGAGGTTGAAAAAAGTGACTGTCACTTATTGTTATTATACACCTCGAATTAACTTATATCAAAAATTCAAGCAAGTTGACTAAAAATGTGATTTAAAGGCCCATTTAAGACTATAAAAATATTTCAGATTCATATATTCTTATTATTCTAGGCTCTAGTTATGGACTTGTCAGGAGAAGGCGTCAATTTTGACAATCTGTGGTCTGGCCCTGGCATGCCTTTTGGTGGCAGCTTAATCATGATGGCGCTGGACATAATTTTATACGGATTTCTTGCTTACTACTTAGATAGTGTTATTCCAAGTAATGATTTAGCAGTTTTTATTAAGAACAAATTCAATGTACTCATTTTTAGGCGAGCATGGTATTAAGAGATCGCCACTTTTTTGCTTCAAACCGTCTTTTTGGTGTTCCAGGAAACCAATGCAAAGGGTAAGTACTTGAAAAAATATTTTTACTATTCATAGAAACAAAATAGTGTTTTATGTAAGGCAAATGCAAACATGTCAGTAGACATTAAAATAACTAGATCATTTTCCGGTCGTCTCAGTTATGGCTACAGAGAAAACAAATCGGAAAAAATGGAAAAATTAGAAAGAACTGTTTTTTTTAACAAAAAACTGGAAAAAATCGAGGAAATTTGAAATTAAAATATATTTATTAACATATTTTTCCTCACTGAGTATGAAAATAACATTTTTTGTTAAAATTCAGAATCGGAATGACATATATTTTTTAAACTTAAAACTATAAAGAGAAATACAGTCTTAATTATGTACAGGGTATCCAGAATATGTGGGCAATGTCTCGGATTTATTTTTATAGTTAAAATAACATGTCAAGTTTCTATAAAAAATTTTCCTAGAGGGTCCCCCTACGAAGATACAGGCCCCTAAAGAACACACCTGAAAATCGATTTTTTTAATAACTTTTAAAATACTTTGTCTAATTTAATTATATTTAGAAAAAAACAAATGTAAATAAAAGTGACATTTTTTTAGATAGGCACAGGAAGAATTTCATCGATTTATTTCTCTTTACGGATATAATAAAAATCATTAAACAAAAATAGTTTTTTCTCGAAAACAGTTAATTTTATCGATATCAACCAACAGTACCTTTTTTAGTTTAAGGTTCAATCTATCTAAAAATATTATTTTTGTGCCTTTATCGTAAAAGGTATATAAAAACTGACACAAGCCAAATTGTTTTCATGGGTCAATTTTTAAGGAGTCTTATTTGTTGTCTATGGTATTAAAAAATAATTAAATTACACAAAGTACTTCAAAAATTATTAAAAATAAAATTGGTTTTCAGAGGCGTCCTTTAGGGGCCTGTATCTCCATAGGAGAGGCCTCTAGGGAAAATATTTATAGGGACTAGTCATGTTATTTTAACGTCCCATGTATAAATCCGAAAGATTGCCCGCATATTCTGGGACACCCTGTATAAGCAAACAACGCATTGAAACAAAATATTAGTTTTCTATGACCAAAAATATACATTTAAATTTTGTTCCAAATGATAAAAATAAAAAGTTAAAAAACTAAGCTTTTAAAAAAAAATTTGTTTACGAGTTCATTTAAACGAAGAGAGGAGTTTTTATACGTAATTTTCAGTGAATTTATAGCAGTGCTTTTTAAAAATCCAAGCAAGTTGTAAACAATATCTCCCCGCTGTACCAGTTGTATAAGTTTTCCCCAGAATATAAGACAGTTTACGAGTTGACAATACATTTAGAATAAGGGAAAAAAGCACATTTTTACTTCTTATGTTTATCATTACATTTCCTGAACTTTACACGCTTGTGGAATATACAAAAAAATCGCATACGATACTATAAACATAATCATATCCCGCAGAATACTTTTAGCAAACTATTAACACATACATTAATCACAATTATTGAGTATATTTATAAAATTTTCGACCAAACATGAAAGGTCTCACTGAAAGTGCGATTTCTTGTCTATAAAATGCCTAACGATGGTAATTCCAAGGCAACATGCTTTTGGTCATTATGAACATATAACCTGAGGGGTTATTTCTTTATTTAACCATCTACCGTTATGAATAGAATAGAATAGAAACTTTATTGACACTGTCATATACAAAAACTGTACATTTTTTGTCACAACTATTACACTAAAAGAGGACATTAATATTAAACAGTAACGAAAGAAATAAAATCATCAAGACTATAAAAACATTGCTCTAATAAAAAATTTTTAATGAACTTGTGAAAACTTCTCTGAGACATCGCATCGTCCTAAATTAAAAATTTTTAAAATGATTACTTAATCTATTATAAAGCTGAATCTGGACCTTGTTTCTCTTAGTAGTATTAATTCTAGAAAAGGGTTCCACATGACTTAGTGCCTGTCTAATATTGTGATCGTGAATGGAGGAGTGAGTGGCTAGATTTTGGAGATTTTTGTGCACATGCAGCAACGTTTCAAGAATATACAGGCTTGGAAGAGGCATGATCTTTAAACCAGTGGCGGCCCGTGGGTTTGACTATAGGGGGGGGGCGCATTCTGAAGAGAGAACGTATATGATAGGAGGTGCGGGTGGGTGGCGGTAGCTCCATGCTTAGCGCGAAAAATTTTGAGAAATATCAAGGTTATTGTGTTTTGCAAGTACATACCCCAAAATAAATACTGTCAGTGTGTAGGGGTAGGGGGTAAACATGGGCATCACTAAGATCTTTATCTAACACGGGATCATTTTTTGCATTATAGTCTATCAGTTCTAAAAATTGCCCTTTGATTACCGAGTCACTTTTTTCATTATGTCCGCGAAGAGGAAACATAGTTTTAAGATATCTATAATTTTTGAAAGAAGCAATCGATTTTTCTTAACCGTTTCGTTATGACTATTTATTTGTTCTGCATAAGCACTACTTAAACAAGAAGCAATATTTACTCTTCCTAAAAGTAAAAAACTCACCAAGTTATTTTTGTGTTTAGGAGAATTTTCATGTTTCTTAATTTTGTCCGGTAAATGTTTCAAGTCAGAAACTCCAGTTTTCGTTCAGTTTTCTTCGCCTCCTCCAAACAATAAACATACAAAACAAAAAAATCTATTTGTTTTGTCTTATCATAAATGTTTTTATCAAATTTGCGAATAAAAGTCGGCCTACTTTTGCACTATTTCTGCACCTGAACTAAATTCCACACTGGCGTTGGACGTCCGTTATTTTTCAATCCGACTTTTTCCTCTAAACTTAAATTACTAATAACAAGTTTTTTTATTTCACAAACCCTCATTTTAAACTTAAACTTAAACTTATAGAATATGCCTTAAAAAGCGCCAAAGCAAAAACAAAACACGTATAACCACACTTCAGTGATACGGGTTACTGACACATGGAGTCCAAAAACTCCAAAACAAAGCGCGCGAGCCTATCGTCGTCTATCCCCTCCACATGCCAATTTGTCCAATCATATGTAAAAATATGCTTGCACGATGGACTCAAATTTCACCGACCGCGATGGAGTGGGGATTGCGCGCGCGGTCAAACATAACTCTTTGGCACGATCATATATGCCAGAAGGCATTAATCTGAGCTACGTTCACGGAGTACATGCACTTTATGCAACCAACCTAACATCCAAGACATATTGAATGCAAGCTATTTAGATTTTTTATTGATTTAAATAAATAAATTATTTTAAGTTTACAGTTTGAAAATATCTGGGGGGGCGGAGTCCCAGAGTCCTCCTTCACGAGCCGCCACTGCTTTAAACTCTTAAATAGATATTTACACAAAGCCCAGCGGTAGGCTGCAGCTACAAGGCAAACCGCCGCCTTCTGCAGAGTAAATGCCTTCCGCGCAGTAACGGAGTTACCCCATAACAGGACTCCATAGTTAAGGTGACTGTGAATAAGAGAAAAATACAAAATTTTCATAACTGCATCACTCAGCGAAGGCCTCAGCTGCCTCATAACGAAAATCTGCGATGCGAGCTTAAAACAGAGAGAATCGAGGTGCCCAGGATAAACCGGTATCTAAAGTAATAACCAGTAATTTCACATTATTAGACCTATCAGCTAATCTATCAGCTGTAAAATGCAAATGTTGGGTTTTAGTAAAATTCAATTCAAGTTTATTTGAAGAAAACCAGGATTTAGCCTTAGATAGACACTCTCTACTCCTATCCACACCGCCACGTGTCAAAAGGGTCGTGTCGTCGGCAAAAATAATGCACTTGTAGTCACGCATGTTGATTGGCAAGGCATTTATGTAAATTAAGGATACTAGGCCAGTCATTATAGCTTTTTTTCGGGAAACAAATACTATTAAAAGTTTCTCTGCGGAATATTGTTCCGAAACGTGTTATAACAAAATATCAAAAAATCTACTCGAGACTAGTTGGGAAATTTTGTTAATAAATATTATAATTTTTTCAGTCATTTTTAAACAAATTAAATTTGAAAAACTCTAAGTAAATGCATACGTAAAAAACAACTATTTAGGTACAAAAACAACTAATGATCGAAACTCTACAACGCCTGTGAGCTTGGGAAAAATGAATTGAAAATAGCATCTTCTTAGATAACAAATTCCGCCAACGCCAAACCAATGAAGCTTTCGGGCTGAAATTTTTATCACTTATTAAGGGTGTAAAAAGCCTCAAAAATCCTGAATTACAAGTGTCTACGATGAAAATTGCACTAATTATTAGCAATTGAAAAAAACGGCCATTTTCGACCATTTCTGAGCTCTTGCGCATAAACAAATTATCCGAATTTAATCGGACTTGTCTCATTTTAAAGGTTTATTTAATACCTACCTTTTTTGTATAAATCTCTTTTCGCTATGAATAATAGTTTTTTACGCGAGTTAAAATCCACTTTTCCATAACTTTGACCATTGTTTAAATAAAGTTTCCCAACTAGTCTCGAGTTGATTTTTTGATATTTTATTTATAACATTTTTTCCGAACAATATTCCGCAGAGAAACTTCGAATAATATTTTTTTCACGAATGTCATTTCATGTCTATAATGATTTTTTTTTCCAAGTCCAGTTTTTAGAAATTTTCGACTTCTGCTTGTAACATACTACGATAAGATCTAACAAGTTCAAAACCGTTCTAAGTTTGGTGATTCTACTAACGAATGATCTTAGCTGTTTAATTGATATTGTGGATGTAATTCAATGCTGGACAGAGCTTTAGTTCACAGAGTAGTTTTTTGGTACAGTATTAGTTATATTTTTAGAACTCTATGCAGTGAACTATTTCCATTGTTTCAATATCTAATTTTATCTACTATTTGACTGATAATAATATGTGAGGATTGTTAATATTAATATATTAATAAAACAATGTATCTCAAATTTTATAACATCCTCGAGAATTCCTTAGAAAACTTTTCCCGTATTGTCATAATATTTTCATTTCAATATTCACTGATCGTTGAAAGTAAAGAAATATTAGGTACTCTATTAGCATAATTATCGTTTTTCAGCAGATTCTGTTCGATACCTGTCATTAGATTGTCATTTATTTTTGCTTTCACGTGTTATAAAAACAGAATTACAGTTAACATATTAACATATTCATATTACAGGTGCCTTTAACGGCAAATGGGGGATCTGTCCACTCTTTAAATACAGGAGATTCAACATTAGACGTTGAACCAGTTCCAAGAGAGATGCGGGGAAGAGAAGCAATCAAAATCGTTGATTTGTATAAGAGTTTTTACGTAAGTCATTGAAATTTTTCCTAACAAACCTTGCTTTTCAAGTTGTAGCAATATTTAAAACTATACAAAAGACACTTTTTATCTCTCTAATTTGATAAACTTTTTGCTATTCTTCAGCACTGTAGAAAACCTGAGGTAAAAGCTGTCAATGGTATAAATCTCACAATATATGAAGGCCACATTACGGCAATATTAGGTCATAATGGTGCGGGAAAAACTACTTTATTCAACATTCTCACTGGGCTTACGGCGCCAACTGCCGGTACTGCATACATTTTTGGATACGATGTAAGGTAAGTTTATATCACTTTTATTTTAGGAACATTATTCCATTTTCCACATTATGCCAGAATGAATCAAATATCAAACGCGAGTTTTTGTTTGTTGAAATAAAAATATAATAAAGAAAATGGAGGGAAAGTTATTAAATAACATGAGTTATGGGTAAGCTATAAAGTATCTTCATTGTTAGCGCTATTCAATGCCTACTGGCACAGAACATTGCTTTGCAACTACTGACACAGATATGTTTTGTGCCATTTGATATTGTCAATTAAGGTATGTTTTACATGTTATATCTCACTCACACTTAAAACATTGCGGTAGACATTCAAATAGCTAACTTGTGCCTCGGCTGTCTCACGTACAGCATACTGATGAGAACTTGAGAACTAATAAGTTTGGAACCGATCTCTGTCTGGTGACTCAGCTGACTGAATGATCTCTGTTAATTACTAGGCATTGCCGGACGGGGCTGTCGTCCACAGAGTAGTTGTTTCCTCCTATATCATTATTAATGAACTAGAAGTGGGTGAAAGTTACAGTTTCTAGAATCTTTTTTATTTTTCTACGTTTTCTAGATAGTGGCATTGTGTAGGACGGATGAGCGAGTGAAGATTGTGAAAATTCATTAAAAGTACGGAGAGTGTATAGCTGAGACTGTGCGCAAATTAAGTGAAATTTTCGGTAGAAGGAACGCTCCGAATGAAACAACTGTGAAAAGATTAGTTGTCAAATTTGAACAAACAGGTTTGGTTGTAGACAATAGAAAAATAGGCTGCCCTCGTACGGGACATTCAGCCGAAAATATTGTTACGGTGAGTAATACTATCGTATGGCGGAAATTCCTGTAACCTCAGTGCGGTCACTGCAATTAACATAACAAAAATCACAATGCAGCGGATTTTAACAAAAGATCTGCATCTGCATCCATTCAATATTCAACTAACCCAGAAATTGAAACCAGACCACCATTTAATCCGCCGGACATTCGTTAATTGGATGTTGGAGAATCAACAAGTCGACGGTGAAATCAGGAATCTGGACTTTTAGGGAGGGTAGCTTAAAAAGCTATAGCACTTCGGCCCCATTGGGCCCCTTGTACTTTCTTCCATTAAGAGATCGATCCACCTGAACCGCTAACCAACCTATTGCAGAGAAAAAGGTGTTCAGGGGGATCTCTCTAATATAGGCCATAGAAGACCAACGCTCTCCCAACACGGATCCTTTTGTTGACGAGACGGCAGTGCATTCGCATGGAACATGTAGTACTGTCTCGTCTTCCTGTTCACATCCCCAACAGAGAGGTGTTTCACCTCGGAACATTCAAGAACCACCACTGTTTATCCAAAGAGTCACAGTGTGGTGTGGATTTTAATCTGGTGAGTTTATTGGACTGTTCTTTTTTAAAAACGAGGGTGGAAACACAGTGACTGTGAATGGAGAATGATATCTAGAGATTCTATTGAACATTTTCTGACCTCATTTGGTTGGCATGGATTTGGATGACATGTGGTGACAATAGCCCAGCCGGGTTGTCATTTAACCGGGAAAAAATTAGGGACCACAATTTTATTGTTCTAACCTTTAGGGCGGGGGGGTCAATAGTAGTGTAAATTCAGAATCGCGACTGAATTCCACCCCTGCGTCAGCCGCCATCTTGAATTTAAGGAAAAATCGTTTTTGATCAATATCTCGGCCATTTTCAACTTTACAACAAAAATGGTAGGTACTTAAGTTGTTGCAAATGCGATTTTCTACAACTTCTTTTATTACAAATTTTATCGTGCGATCGATATTTTTCAAGTTAAGGGAGAAAATAGTGACAAAGTATAATTATTGAATTATCTCGTTTGTTATTGACTTTACGACATAAATATACATAAACAAAGTTGGAAAGAATTATATTTTCTACAATTTTGATCTCTTTGATTTTTTCGCTACTACCAACATTTAAGGTCCTACGCTTGCGGAGACGTCAGGCCTATGGAATGTTGATCCCTTGAGTTTAGTTAGGCTTGCCATAGGCGTAGGACCTTAAATTTTGGTAGTAGCGAAAAAATCAAAGAGATCAAAATTGTAGAAAATATAATTCTTTCCAACTTTGTTTATGTACATTTATGTCGTAAAGTCAATAACAAACGAGATAATTCAATAATTATACTTTGTCACTATTTTCCCCCTTAACTTGAAAAATATCGATCGCACGATAAAATTTGTAATAAAAGAAGTTGTAGAAAATCGCATTTGCAACAACATTTTTGTTGTAAAGTTGAAAATGGCCGAGATATTGAGCAAAAACGATTTTTCCTTAAATTCAAGATGGTGACTGACGCAGGGGTGGAATTCAGTCGCGATTCTGAATTTACACTACTATTGACCCCCCCCCTAAAGGTTAGAACAATAAAATTGTGGTCCCTAATTTATTCCCGGTTAAGCCCTTATTTTGTCTAACCCGACTGGAGTACAGCTGGATGGTGTCACCTATCATAAGGCACGTGAAACTATCCACTTGTTACGGCAAAAATTTAAGGAATGACTCATCTCACGTGACCGTGAAATAACCACTAAGATCATGCTACCTTACGTCAAGCGCCTTTTTCCTGTGGGAATTCGTAAAGTCCAAAGTTTATTCTGCTGAAATACATAGCATTCCTGAATTAAAGGCAGAAATTCGGAGAGTTATCAACAAAATTCAGCCGCATGTATGGGAAAGCGTGATACAGAATTTTCTTAAAAGAAGTCGTATGACAAATGAGTCGTGGAGGACATATGTCCTTTTTTTTATTTAATGATAATGTCTACCTTTTAAAAACATGTAATAACTTTACCAAATTTTTAATTAATAAAATCTTTTTACTAAGATAAAATTCTGCTATTTCTTCATGATTTCTTTAAAAAGGAGAGTCTGTATATGTTGGATCACTTAAAATTACAGTTATGTACGTTGTAGTATAAACAGAATTTCTTAACAAGAATGACTTTTCATAAAAATTTTCCTTTTTTCAACTGCATCCATAGTCAAACTATACAATTGTCTGTCATTGGGTATTCCTATTGCAATAAAAATAAAAGCAATTAATAAACAACTTTTTGCGACGGTAGAATCTGTCAAAGAGGTAATTTTATCTATTTAATTTGCCTAATTATCCATTAATATAAAAAGGCACACAATCTCTAAAATCTAAATAGATGTACCTACTATTATTTCTCTGGATATCAAAAAAAAATCCTGCTTATATTTTATTCAACCAAGAAATGTTAACGTTTTGCATTTAACATTAGAGACCCAAACGACATGGACCAGATCAGAAGAATGACTGGAGTATGTCCACAACACGACATCCTATTCGACAACTTAACCCCAAGAGAACATTTAGAATTTTTCGCCGCTGTTAAGGTATTGGTACCAAAATCCACATAAAACACTTTATTGATTCTTTATCTTTCATAAAGGGAATACCACCATCTTTGATCGAATTCGAGGTAATGAAGACATTGCGCGACATCGACCTGACCGACAAGGCTAACGCTTCCGCCAAACACCTAAGTGGTGGACAAAAACGTAAACTTTCCGTCGGTATAGCTGTTATCGGAGACCCAAAAGTAAGGTCAATTAAAACTGAAGGATCTCTTAACATAATTTTGGATTCTTTGTTGATTTTCAGATCATTATATTGGATGAACCTACTGCTGGTGTTGATCCATACTCTAGAAGGCATATGTGGTCGGTGCTTCAGAATAGAAGGCACGGGAAGGTGATCTTGTTAACCACACACTTCATGGATGAGGCAGATATTCTAGGTACATGTAGTCAAAAATATAAAGCTTCTAATCTGAGAAAGTCATACAGAATTTAGTACCCTTTCTGTGTTAATCAGAAACTATTTAACAAATTAAACAATATGTCCCTATTTTGACATTATAAATATTATATTATATTACCCAAAAACATAACCTCAAATTAATCAAAACCAACCTCAAATTTTTACACTGACTTTTTTAAATTTATGGGTATAATTACTTGAAAACTATACCTATTTTTTAACATCAAATTCTTCAAAGCCTAACCCCAAACCCTTAAAACCCAACTTCAAATTCTAAAACTTGAGCTAGAAATTCATAAAATGTATATTACGTTCCACACCAAAGAATAAAAGTCCTTGAAAACTATTTTCTTGAACTTATATTTTTTTACTTTTGAAGCTCATAACCTCTGTTCTTAAATATCAAACCTCAAATCCAAGAAATCTGAGCTAGAAAGCCTATTGAAGGATATTTTTCAAACCAAAGAATGTGACTCCTGGAAAACTCTTCAGTTACTAGTTTTACTTACAAATTCTTCAGATACTATACTCCACGGTAGAAATTATAGAGAGTGATTCGTCGTTAGCTTTTGGACTAGTAAGGGGGATGAAGCGTGCCGGGAACGAAAATCCATTGGCGTGTCTGCGTAAAAGGCAACAAGATATAGAAAATAATGAAAAAAAGATAATAAAACATAACATCTAATATTTTTTACGGTTTGCTATAACAGGCACTTTGATCCATTTTAATTATTACAGCATTTTAATTTATAAATCTATTATAGCCATGGAATTAGACCCCTCGTCTACGCTTATGCTATGACGTTTCTCAGGACGGGCTAAATCAAGTCCGTTTACACCCACTAAAAAAGCATTTCCCTATTCCCTACCAAGTGCAAAAGACAGAGATAGAATATAGATCGACGTTCAGTGTAACTCGGTCTCTAGACGATTATAGATTCTATCGATGTGCGTAGCGAGCGGCACAAAGATAAATAATATTGAACCGTATAAAAATAATTTTATATTTTATACGCATTATGGTAATAGTGTTTTTATATTATGTCTTAGTCACTCTTTATAATTTCGACCGCGGAGTATAATAGTTTGCTCGCTAGGTGGCTATTTGTTAGTTCATTGGTTCTCAAAATTGATCTTTACTCATGTAAACTTCTATCTATCTAAATATCCATATATTTTTTGTGGATTTGAGAATAACTTCCAAGGGTTTGAGGTTAGGTTTTTATGGACATAGCATAGGCTTGAGGCTTCAGAAATACAAAATATTAGCTCCAGAATAGAGTTTTCAAGGAGTCATATTCTTTGGTTTGGAAAATATCCTTCGTTTGACTTTCTAGCTCAGATTTTTTGGATTTGAAGTTAGATATTTAAGAATAGAGGTTAGAGGCTTCAAAAATAAAAAATATAAGTTCCAAAAAATAGTTTTCAAAGACTTTATTCTTTGTCGTGGAACATGCATTCTATGAATTTCTAGCTCAAGTTTTTAGAATTTGAATTTGGTTTTTGAGGGTTTGGGGTTAGGTTTTGAAGGGTTTGAGGTTAGGTTTTTACGAGTGTAGGTTTATGGCTTTAGAGTTGGGAAATATAAACTCAAAAATATAGTTCTCGAGTAATTATACCCATAGATTTAGAAAAGAGTCAGTGTATTACTTTGAGGTTGGGTTTGATGAATTTGAGGTTATGTTTTTGGGTTCAGGTTTAAGGTTGAAAAGTATTGTGCAGCTACATGATTATTTTCGTTGTTTAATAACCTCAGATACAAAATTTTTTATTTTTTTATTTTTAAATATCGAATTATTATCTTTGGTGTTGAGGCTGATTGGTTCTGACTCGATTAAAAAAAATCCCATATAGATAGATCAAATTGTCATACCTGGATCATAAAATTAAGCAAATTTGAAGAATAAAAAAGAAGTTACCACTGCACGGTTAAAATAGTCGAGGGCATAGAATTTTTTCCCATATTTCCCACTATGCGACACCAACGGCGAAACCCTGAGCAGTACTGAAATCATATTGATTGCAATCAATTTTATGCACTCCTAGCTAAAGTGTACTTCAAATAATTAAAGAATCACAATGTTTTGGCGTGAGCCTTTACTGTTCGCAAACGGGTACTAGATTCTGGATGAAACTCGTATTCAAATATGATTTCTCATTAACATACCCATAACTAACATTTTTTTAGCTGACAGAAAAGCGGTAGTTTCCAGGGGCAACATTAGGTGTTGTGGAAGTTCTCTTTTCTTAAAAAACAAATTCGGAATAGGTTACCACCTCACACTAGTACTAGAAGGAATCTCTAAAGAACAAGCCATTAACAGGCTGGTAACGACTCACGTACCCAAGGCGGAGAAAGCCAGAAAGCATGGTAGGGAACTCAGTTTTATTTTACCTCACAACGCAGTAGACAATTTCGCTTCACTGTTTTCCGCTATCGAGCAAGAAATTAATAACAAAAGCAGTAAACTGGGTAAGGAACTGTAATTTGAATTTTGCAAGATGATTAATTGAACATCTCATAGGTATATCTAGTTATGGAGTATCCATGACGACTTTGGAAGAAGTATTCCTCCATCTAGAGAGAGACGAGGAAACTGAAACTACAATGGACAATCTGTCGAAAAAAATTGTGAGGAACAGGGCCCTAAGTAGGAGTTTGAGTTTACAGAGCAAAAGTACAAGTTACCAGTCCTTGCAGAATGAAGGCAATAATCCTCTCATCCAGGATAGCAAGGGTAAGAACATAGAGCATCTAGCATATAATCTAAGTAATATTCTTATATAAAATACTGGCGTTACGGACCTCAAAGGTCCATAGCTTGTTTCAACATATTCTTCCAGAGTCTGTGCTTTGTCTTTACCATCTTCAGTATTCATACTTTCCATATCTCCTGTTCTTAGCCCGCTTCGAGTGTTCTCCTCTGAAATCCTTCACTACTGTAACATGTATCTTCTTAATCCTTTCTCCTTCCCCACCAATGTTTCTTAACTTCTCCAAAAATACTATATAATAATTTCCTTTCTCGCACCTCCAAAATCTGCTGCTCCGTCTTCACTAACCATACTTAACGAGTTATCGGTTATATTGCTGTCTTATACGGGGTGTAACGTAAAGTTTGGGAATAAATTAAACGGTGGATGTTTTATATTAAAAAATAAATATTTGTCATATAAAGTTACGCTTTACGGGTTTTCTTTTCTAAGCTACAGGGCGCTAAAAAATTTAATATCGTTTTCAATGTAAAAGTCTTTTTTCAGTGCCTATTTGACCATGTTCGGTGGCTGAGTCAAAGCATACTTCATAATGTTTTTGTTATTTTTATTTTCCTACGTTGGAAAAATTTTACTATTTTATTTTTATTTACAAAAGTTTTATTTACGGAAAACTTACAAGAGCTAGACATAAAACGCAAGAGGGTAATTTTGTTTAAAATAAAAATTGGATAAAAAAAAAATATTTAAAAAATGTTTTTACCAGTGGCGTACCACAATTTTCTTCGAAAAACCTTACGGTACAATCCGTACGCACACCACTGAGTATCTTACAAAGTCAATCTTTTTTCTGTTACTAGAGCATTATCAAATTAAGACTAAGATTTCGTTCCATTATCTTATAATATTCGAAAGTTATTGGAGAAAAACTAAATTTTTTGAAACTTTTTAGCGCCCTGTAGCTTGGAAAAGAAAACCCTTAGAGCATCACTTCATATGAGAAAAATTTATGTTGTAAACCAAAAAATCCACCGTTAAATTTATTCCCAACCTTTACGTTACACCCAGTACACAATATGCGTTCCAATGTAAACAGAACTTTTTAAAAATGAGAACAAAAACTTTCTTCAGCAAAATCGATTTATTTCATTCAAAATAGTCCCCTTCCGACTAAATACAGTAATTTTTCACGATTAAACAGTGCCAAATCTTCAACAACATTATCTTCACTTTTGACTTCTCCAAACGAGATTTTTTGGGTTTTGCCCCATCTGACGCCTTCAACTCTTGCACTTTGGCGCTTGGTTTCTAGATGATATTAGGCTTTTTTTCGCGAGTGAATATTGGTGACTACGTCTGACTTGTAGTTACTGTTTCTATCTCTTTTAATCTTATTTCTAACCTTGTCTAACCTGAAGAGATCGCGAAAATGTATATATTCACTATTCAGTGATATGTAGTATGTACTTTGACGACTTTGACATATGGGTTTTAACTTCTAACCAGTAACCATAATTTGTCATCCTTTACTGCTTCCAGTAATCTAGTGTTGTGGGAATTGGTGTTATCACACTATATAATATATGTATTTGCTTCAAATAAAACTGAAGGAATATATATCAATGCTTTCTTTGGAATATTTTTAAGTGGCAAATTTAAAAAGCGTGAAAAGTATGTAGATTCTGATGTTGCAAGATATGCGAATATTCGACATAATCGTTATCGTAAGAGAATGGAATTTAGTCATTTATGTCAATGGCTACAAAACAGAAATTGTGACAAGGCTCTATATTTTTTGATATTTTTGTGGAATGAGGATGATGATGTTCCTTATGTATGTTATAAGTTTAGAGAATCATATCATATATTCGGTTTTTTATGTAATTCATACGAAAAAGACCTGAATTACAAATTATTCTACCAATATTATCTGGCCTATGTCACAAAAAAGGAGGATAATCCTGAAGCAAAGTGGATCGCAAATATGTCCCATATAAAAAATTAATCTTACCATTAAGTAAAATATTTGCTGTTTCAACGTCTACGTTTACTAAAACATCTGTGACTCTAAAGTTTAAATTTAAACTGACCACTTCCACAGCCGTATCAGAATCCATCATTTTGCTGAACGATTTTTATCCTCATTCAAACAAAATGTCAAAAAGAAAAAGGTTAAGTTACCGGCTGAATATACGAACAGAATATTCAGCTGAAGGGTGAAGAGTTCAGTCATTTGATCTAAACTGGTGACGTCACATAGTAGTTTAAATGACTGACTATTCTCGCAAAAACGTAATATTCACTCATACTACACATACTACAACATACGACTTCACTCGCGAAAAAAAGCCTATTGAAAACAGCAGGTTCCATCGCCAGTCACAATGTTTTAAATGAAGCTTTTATCCTTTTTGACCTCCTTGATGATGTTCTTCGATTGTTAAAATCTGAGCAATTGTTGGTTAGTCAGCTTGTGAGTGCACTGTGCACACAACTTTTCGACAGCCCAAATTGTTCGGTGAAAATGCTATAAATTGATGTTTTCCATGAATTTAAATGAAGATTTTGATTGATCTTTGATGGAACCTGCTGTGATCATGGATTTCGGTTGGCCAACGTATTGCTCATCATTTTTGTCCTCACGACCGTTTTTAAACCGCATATACCATACTTGGACTATGCCACGGGATAAACAATCGTCACCATAAATTTGGTTCATCAATTGAAATGTTTCGGCAAAAGTTTTACATAGTTTAAAAAAATAATATTATTAGCTCTTTGTTCGATGCTTATTTTTGTACCTATGACACAAACATACTGTCACTTCAGACGCAATAACTCTGCTTCTATTCGTCCAAATTTCATGAAATTTTGGCAATACATTAGTGAAGTTTTCGATGCATTGCCAATAGATGACCTCGCTAGAAATACCTATTTCTGATAAGTCCTGTTTACTTGAGAACACACATCTATTATGTTTCCCTTCTAACATCCTTACAACCTCCTTTAATTGCTCAATATTTCTTGCTAGTGCTGGTAATACAACGTCATCTACAAAAGCTAGTCATATATTACGCCTTTTTATATACTAGACCTGATTTATGAATTTTTGGCCCTCAATAATTTTCTGTATAACAAAAGTTGAATAAAAGCGATGCCAGTAGATTTCCTTACCTTACCTCCTCTGCGACCTCAAATTTGTCGAATGATTGTGTATTCTTACTTTGTTTTCTAATTTATTAAGTATTATTCGGATCATTTTAAACAATTATCACCACGGTAGCGTAGTCGGTCGAGAGTGCGGTGGCCAGCATTTCTAGGCCAGACTTCCTATTCTGGTCTGGGTTCGATCCCTGACGTCGGCACTGGAATGTCAATGGATAATGGGTGTTTGTCTGCGATTTTTCAAGTGCAGCCCCCTTCCGCACAGCCTTTCACTTTGGATTTGGAGGTTGTCTCATTTCTGTAGTGCGAAAAAAAAATGTGTCGGTAGCTCCTAGTTGCTTTAAAGCTTTAGTAGATCTATGTTCTGTCATACGCCTATTTCAAATTGATAGACCATGGCCAGTGTTGTTTTCTTGTATTCAAAATATCGGCCTGTATTTCACTTATTGTTAGAGCCAACATTGTATTTATTGTACTTCTTCCTAATTTAGAGCAACCCTTGTATTCCCCCATATATCCTCCACGTTTTCTTTAACTTGTTTTTGATTTACATTGCTAATATTTTGTCACATTCAAAAGAAGAGCAATGCCTCCAAATCCTGGTATATGATTTATTGTGGATAGGATACGAAACTGCTTCTTTCCACTCTTCCTGTACCTATTCGTACTTCCATATATTTCTAACCACGTCTTTTTGTGAGTTTCCAATTTCCTTCATACGTTAGACTCTGTGGGAACATGGATCTCATACACCAGGAGTCCAAAATTACATGACTGTAGGTTGGCATTCTTCCATAACTCCTAAATCCGAAGTGCACGAAGGTGTATAACCACAAAATTCTGGAGAGTTTCTAATCCTTAATTCTTTAATTTGGGGCATGTCAGTTCCTGTAGACTCACGATTCTGGTGTAATGAGAGTCGTGATCGTCTTAAAGAGACCTCTTTTGAGACCAGTTTGATTATTACGTTGCTATATACAGTCTTAAATAAAATCCACAAAATATAAAAATTCTATTAACAGTATTTTTAGTTATTAATTAATTGATATCAATCCGCTATTATGCTTAAAGTTAATGATATTAATCAAATCTTTTTTGCTTTTCCGGATACAGAGAAATTTAAAGAAAAGTTCCATAATTACACTAACGTCGACTTTAAGTAAAGTTTGCTAATTACCATAGCAATATATTGTTTTGACAATGCTTTAAAGTTGTTTTAAGTTTAATGGACCTTTAGTTTATTATGAAATCAGCAGTTAACAACAATGTATTTCAAATTAGAATGGTAACTCAATTGTTATCAAATAAACCATCTGATGTTTGAATAGAGTTATCATATTGAAATACAGAAAAATTTTCAAATTTCTTTGTACACTGGAAAATAAAAAACTTCTGATTGATTCTGTAATAAATTCTTGTAATGAAAAACAGAATCATCCATTGAAATTTTTACTGATTTTTTTTTTACAGACATCCTTTGGGAAGAAATAAGTAATTAATTGATTAATTCATTGTATTAGTAATCATGTTGCCATAATAATAATAATTAACATTTTATTAGTAACCATCAATATACAGAGCTCCACCGAAAATTATCACTTTTTTATTTTTGATTTCAGAAAGAAAAACTTCCTATAAAAGTTGTGTTCTCTGGAGTTTAAAAATTTCGTTTCTAGAAATGCGATTTTTAGATGAAAACTGTGTTTCCTTTTCTGCATTTTTATAATCTTGTACATTTTTCTGATTTCAACAATATAAATACATCATATATTTGCTTCAGTAGTTTTTTTTTTCGGATAAGAATTTCTTACGGACATTCATCAATGGTTGTCAAGGCAAGCTGATTCAAATATCTTTA